GACTTCTTCCTCTTGGCTTTTTTACAGCTGCCGTTATCCTACCTGTTGCTTAGATGTTGACACTCACCACTATGGCATGGGACTTCACCTTATCCATTATCCCATTCTTGTTCTAAGGGCAGTGGTGTTTCTGCCAACGGGCTAGAGGACGCAGGCTTCTTTTTCCCTTCGGTGTATAATAACCTGACCCAGGCAGTTACACTGAGGAGACAGGTGTCTCGTCATCCGAGTTAGAGACGGCTTGCGCAGAAGCAGTATGTTTATTGAAGGGGTGTAGGTTCCTCAGAGGTTGTTTGTCGCTAACCACTGCTAGACACGGGTCGCAGTGAAAGCTGATGCTTTTGGAGTTAATGCGCTGAAGACATTGGTAAAGATTATTATTAATTTTACAGCAAACTATGTGCGACCATCTCTCGCAGAGGGCGCACTAGACGGCCTTTGAACATGTAGTGACGCCTTTACCGCAGTCCACACACTTGAATGTCATATTTTCAGATAGAAATTTGACAAGTCAAATTCTGTTAAACGTTATGTAGCTAGTCCCAGCGTCACCTTGTAGTGATCCCTAATGTAGGAAATCCTTGAACCTCAATTAGACAGCCATTGTTGTGAGAGGATGGTCATGTTCTCCAAGCCAGGCATTTCTGTTACAGACGTTTCGTTACCAAACTAGGCAACATTTTCAGTGCGACTATCAAATCCTGATTCGTCGAGTCTCGCAAATCAATAGACATTCGGATCTGGCAGTAATTTGCGTGACTCCGCAAATCAGGACTGAAGATGTTGCCTAGTTTGGTAACGAAACGTCTGCAACAGAAATGCCGGGCTCGGAGAATGGGACAATCCTCTCATCCACACCCTGAGCTACAGATATTCTCGATAATTTTCAAGCCATTGTTGTTTCTTCTCTTTTACTTCCTGTTTCCTTAATAGTCATCACTCATGCTTCTCCTCACCATCCATTCAGATGAGGCCCGATCGATCGAGCTGCTCGAAAGGATCCAATCATCAACTATAGTAACGGTATCCAGCTCACCGCGAGATGTTAACCAGCCACACGTTTCATTTAGTGTGGTCTCTTACTAGAGGTTATGATATTGGTATCCAGACGCCTACGAGGTAGTTGTTTTGTATTGCAACCCAGGAGCAGAATTATACCTTCGAATGGAGGTACTGGGACCTCTGTTCGCTCACTGGTATACGAAGCGGAACGCTTGTTAAGCGATAGCTTGTTTCGTCCCTGGATCCTGCCCTGCCAGCACAGTCGGACTCGATAATCTTTGGCCAGTTTATTACCATACTAAACATTGGATTCAACATACAACTGAGCGTGATGATGTGGACTTCATTCCTCGGGAAATGACTCGTCCCCATGCAAATTTTCCATATACGACATGTCCTATACCTGATCCGAAGTTCAAGTTCAATTGTGACTGGAAAGATAGGATGAATCCTGTGATGTTTCTAAGCGGATCGTTAATGCAGGAAATGCTAAGACGCTCCGTGGTCTTGGTAAATCTCAAAAGAAAAACCCGAGCCGCACCTTTGTAGCCAATTGCGCAGTAATTAATTACTACCCACGTTTCCTGCACTAGCAATCCACGCTGTCGGTTACCTGAACTAAACAAGGTATAGAAAGAAAGTGGTAGGTAAAGGGGGAAGGTTGTTTAAATAGAGGATGATACAAAAAAGTGAAGAAGAGCTTATCTAGCCTCTAACCATTGACTAATTTGGTATGAGTGACTCTGATTTTGCAGAAAGCACCACCCCGCATAGCTCAATGGATCGTTGAGGCACGCAAACCGTCGCACCACGATAAGCTCCTGCCTCATTTCAGTGGGGGATCTCGTGTAGCAATATTTGATGATCCACGAAAATGCAAGAATCGCTCTCTTTATTGTTTCGTTTCCTTTTGCAGAAGCAAAGAGATCAAACGTCGAAGTGCCGGGGGCTCTGGTTCGCTTACCGGTACAGGAAGCAGGACGTTCGTTAGGCTAACAACAGGCAAGCCTGTCGTTCTTGCATCTTGACCTGACTCCTCAGGTCTATTACGACCTACGCGCACATCGGACACAGAAGCCCTCGGAATCTTCGATCGGACGCACATTACAATTAGGCACTCCCTCTAGCTTGCATCCGCTGATAGTTCGTCCCCGTGCTGATAGTTACATTCATTGAGTTCAGTGTTATTGCTTTTACAACTATTTGATGTACAATTATATCCAAGCGACAGATATACTGTGCATGTTAGAATACGCGGTCCACATAATGGAAGCAGGAACACCTGTAAGAAGAGGTGAACAAGATCAGCATAGTGAACGCTGCGACTACTACGTCCCCATCTACCAGCATAATTTCTGATGAGGTAGTGTTATGTCTTTCAACCGTTAGCGAAGATCATTTCGAAGATGATCAACTATTTCCTGAATGAACCAGTAATACTATTAGAATGCTTTGACACATCTACATGCTTTCCGGAATGGCCTGCAAGTTAATGGTATTAATTGTAGAAAACTTTTGTGCAGCTAAATTAGTTCACACGTAAGTATAACAAGCATGCCTGCATCGTGCATTATTTGCTGCCAGCTCTGGGTCAGTTAGCACGCTGTACTTCCTGATAGCACGTGTCCGATTTCAATCCGGTGACCGTCCACTTTCTGTCGGACAAAAGCTACGACGGTACAAATTTTAGACGGAAATTGGACAGTCAAAGCAAAAATTGGCAGCACTTACCACTGCAATATTCTATAGATTCCCAGCCTTTGTTCCTATTGATTGTTGCTTGTTAACGATTGTTCAAGTGGCAATTGATGGAACCTATGGCACCCTCTTGCAAGTTTCCAAAACACCATTTATTGAGGTGGAATACATGTATTGCGCAAGAACTACTTGAACGGAATAATGAAGCAATGTAGTAAACAATGATAGACACGGCTTTTGCATCTGCGTAAACCTTTCACTCCAACTTTAAACCTCCGTTCTCCACACACCAATTCCACTTCGGTATCGGACGGCAATCGGACACTCAGGAAATCTCACTGAACCTACTCCTACTCGCAAACTATTTTTTATACGTTGCTGCATAATTCTAATCGTTCAGGCCGAATTCGGTATAGCTGTTAACGGCGATAATTGTTTTTTTGTTTCCCACACAGCGGTTTCACTCCGGAAGCGGACAGAAATCGGACAGCAGACCGTCCGATGGTGCTACCCGGGCCATTGGCAGATGCAGCATGTCGCTGACTGGTTACTAGAATAAGTAAAGACATCGATACGCCTTCTTTTTCAGCTTTCACTTTTGTCCATGGAGAATCATAACTAATGTGGAAAAGTGAAATGTGCACAGGGAGGGTTCTAAACCGAAGCCTTTGTTTTATAAACGACCGTAAAGCGACTGGGGTTTGGCAGTAGGCTACAGGGATTCCGTTTTAAGGAATTAAAAATCACTCACTTCAACCTCCAGGCTGGAGGGCCAGGAGAGAGTTTGTCCAATCATTGACCATTCTGGCATGAATGGTCTGAAAGTGCCAAAGGCACCACCCACCACAGTTCGAGGGATCGTTGAAGCACACTAACCGTCGCAGCACGTTTAGTTCCACTCTCTTTGCGGCGGCCTGTGCTTTTCGTCAAACTAGCAGTTGAAGATCCAACCTGATTTGCTCGTTTTTTTACTTTCCTGCTCCACGTGTTATGTCACAAACAACAATTCCATGGGGTGGTAGTGTGGTGGCATTCTTTTTTCTGTTACCTGATTTTTCAGCTACCTGCTTTTTAAACAGCAACTCCACACAGCATTTGGCGAGGTAGTCTTAACACGGCCCGTAGCCTTAAGAATCACATGCCTGTCTTGTAATCTGAGGGCGCGCATTCGAGCCTGCGTATGGCCCGGGCGATTCGCAGCATACTTAACCCACGTGCAACCGGTGGTTGTTTTCGCGGCAGCGTAGCGTCGATTCGGCCTACTGTTGATGCCTAAATACGGTGTATTTCGTGTATTTTCAGGTAGCGCCTTGCGTGCATGAAATGGTAAGGCAAACTGGATGCATATTTCATGAGATTTATGCGACATCCCTTGGATGATGTGGCGATCGGAGTCACCACCTCCAGTGATTAACTTTTCGTATTATCTGGGTTAGGCTTGGATGGTTAGTAGGACAGACTGTTTGCAAATTTTGGGCTTCAGTCGCCGGGTAGCTGAAGTCTTGGCAAACTAGAGAAGGCTTGAAATAATCTACTTACTAATTTGCGAGCCTCTTCTCACATAATGTAGTCGAAGAGATGTCCAATGATCGAACTGACAGATAACTCAGGGTCGCTCAACGTTAATCCTCCGGGAATGTGTTCCATGATCCTGGTGGACAAACTCTTAGTTCATCCAGTGTGCTTGCTATCGCATGTGCAGTTAAAGTGGTAAGTGCATGTGGCGGTAACTCGACGGATAGGTTTATTTAAGTTGGATTCATGTATCAATTTACTGGTGTGGCGCAATGGCACTAGCTAAGCTGCGTGCTACCTCCTCTCAGTGGATTGGCACTGGCGGTAACAAAACATTATTTCATTCCCCTTTGTAAGGTGATGTAATGAACACCTTTTTCTCGGTGACATTGAGCCACTTTTTCTGCTTAACATCCTCTTCGCACCTGCGATAAATATGTTGGGGTGCCCGTCATCACGTAAGGTAGATACGGTGCGCTGTATCTCTTTCATAGCCGAGTCTTCCGCGTATTTTTACTTTATTAGACGCCGCTTCATCGGTATGTCTTGCCAACTTTGAACGTTAATCTGTCCTTCGTTTCCTTTCATTATCTCACTGGCATGTTGTGACTCTCTCGAGGTGTTCTTATTGAGTTTTTGACGTTGTTTTGGACCGCTGTGTAGCTTTGCTTCATCTCTGGAATCAAATTTACCGTTATTCTTTAGCCCGTCGGTCGATCTCCTTGCTCCTGAACCATAGCACATTACAGTCCTTACAGGACTAGTCGTGGAACGTTTTGCAAATAATGTATTCACCGCTACGTCAGAAGGTAATATCAGAATACGTTTATCATTCCATTATATTTCCAGATTTTAGATTTTGTTTCTGTTTTACGAGCGACGGATATTTCTGCTCAGGTAATTTAAAACAGCATGTGTTTAGTCCGTCTGACAAACAGGACCTATTGCTTGCATTAGCGGACCCTGTCGATGCCTGCCAGACCCTCAAGCAAACAAACACCCGAAATGAGGACTTTTACTTGGATGCTTCCGTTTTCCTAGAAACATTCAATGCTCTTAAGCGTTGTTATATTCTGTGCCGAGTAGAGTTTTACGCAACAATCTAGCTTCGTTTTAGACACTTCGTCCAGCGGAAGAAGTGCGGAAACTCTTACTAAGTCGCATTTATGAGCTTCAATCTGTAACTTATGTTCTATCTGTATATAATTTTCAGTATTTTATAGAACGGCTGATGTATGATGGCTGTTTCTGCTTTACATACGACGAATGGATGGGCAGAGAGAAACGTAACATACTATTTGTCTCCCCGTCATTACTGTGCTTCAGTTCCAGTTTTGCTGATGAACGCTGCTAATGCAGCAGATCTTATCGATCCCCGTTTGAGCTTGCCTATGTGGAAGATCGCATCTACGTAATTCTATGTCGGGATAAATTTTAACTTACTGATAGTTTTATTTATCAGTACAAAAACGAACTCAAAAGTTGTGCTGACTTTCTGGACAATGTTTTGATAATCATCCATAATTCCGCCCAACACTTTCTCCAAGATTGGGTTCGGATATCACAGGTAACCTTTTCTCTTCATTTGGTGGGATAACTTTACGGTCCCACTTTTGTTAGTGCTTCAACCAATTCGGAGGTCTTTACATTGTGATCGTAGAGCCTACTTATATCTTTCCCTGTCCTCCGCTTTAGTACATGAGCCACCAAGCATCTGGGCATGACTTCATGATCAATATCCAACCTAATTTTCTGTCATTAGGTACCATGCTGTTGCTATACAGCAATGGCTCGCTTTTCTGCTCTGGGAAATAATTTCACGCGGTTGCTCTGTCTGTCACTTACTATCATTTATTCGTATTTTATTCGCTCGGCGTTTATTGAACGAGTTAATCCAACGGATGCCACTATGCGTCTGCACTTATCGTAATAACTATGATTTCACTGGTTAAATGCTGTAACAATTGTGATTAAAGCAGAACGCTAGGGTGAAGGCTGTCTCATCGTTTTCGCCTCATTTTAGGCATCAACTGTCAGTTTGTCACGGTACATTGTTCATGTTGTCAGCTGCCTCGACGTCAAATGTTTGCGTCATGTGTTCGGCGCCACATCCACTCTTCCTTCACTTCCTGTTCCTTGCTAGTTTGTGATTTCAGAACAGATTCACTGAAGCCTGATCACCTATATCAACCAATTATGGGGTAAATCTGTTACGCTGCTGTCTACACACTTAACATCAAAATTTGCTGTCATTTAATCGAGTTTAAACTAAATGTCTGCATGGACTCTTTCCTGGTGTCATCGAAAAGATTTATCTAGCCCCCGACACACCATCGGCTAAGCACAAAAATTTTGCGGATCATTTCTCACCAGTGTTACTGCCTAAAATTGAGTACTGTATCTTTAACAAAAGTGACGCGACATTCATCAAGACACTTGGTCTAAAAAATACGGTATCTTTCAAAACCAAACTTTTACGAACAGTTGGATTTTGTTTTCACAAACAAAACGCAGTTGTTTTCTACTTTAAAGCAGACCCCTCTCGGAAACTCAGACCACTGCATCCTGAAGATAGACCTAGTCATCTACAGTAAAACCAAACTTGTCTTTGACAAGAACTCCTTCAAAATCATTAATCGGCGAGGCTACTTTACAGCAACTATCGCGAAACCTTACACGGCGCTAGGTTCAACTGACCTTTCAGTTTTCATAGAAGAAAACCTATTATTAGAGTGCGAACACCTTACCGGATATATCAACTGCTTTAGTCTATTCTCTATCGCAATGAGGCTGGACCTTACCATGGTGCGATGGCTTGTGTGCCTCAGCGATCCATTGAGCTATGCTGGCTGGTGCTTTTGCACCTTCAGAGCCACTCATACCAGATTGGTCAATGGTTAGAGGCCAGACTAACTCAGCCTCCTGGTCCTCCAGGTTGGGGGTTGGAATGAGGGTGGCTCCTTATTCCTTAAAACGGACTACTTGTAGCCCAACGCCAAATCCGCTACCTTGCGGTCAGGTTTTTGAACCAAAGGCTTTGGTTGAGGACCCTAATCGTTCTCCTGTCTAGGCCTGGGCAACCTGACAGTATCCTGCCCACGCGATACAATGAATCTTTCCTCAAACAATTTCTTGATGTTCTGGCCATCGCAGAGGATAATCAACGGTGCCCTATCTGTTGCATCGAGCAGGATGGGTAGGCGTTTGGATGCTGCTGCTTAAGCCTTCCCGTCTTCTTATTCCCCTTCTTGCGCTTTTCACCCTTACCGTCCCTTTCCAAGTTCACTTTTATCCCCCCAGTTTTCAACCCCCGAATTCTCGGCCCTCCCCCACCTTGCTTCACTAGTCACTTGTCCTTTAGTTTCAACTCACATGAACGCGGAGCGTCATTCCTGCCCTGTCAACAGGCCCATGTCCAATCAAGCGGTCCATTCCAGTTCATCGACTTGCATTTGGAGCTCTCGATCCTCCTTCAGATCGGCATGCCTCAATGTACGCACACTACTACAGTTCCGTCAACAGGCAGCACTTGCCCGAACATTGGAGACGCTCTCGATCGACATCTGCTGCTTATCGGAGACCCGCCTGCAAGACTCGAGCTCTGTGCTCACTCTGCGATCCCCTTCAGGTGACGCAAGCAGTACTTTCTCATTGCGCCTCTCCGGTGACGATGCAGCTTCGAGCACCTGCCAAGCTGATGTTGGCATTGCCCTGATTCCCCGGGCTGAAGCTGCTCTGGTTGATTGGATTCCAATCAGTAGCCGGATGTGTGCGGTCCGATTGGCGGGCTCGTTCAAAACTTCGAAGTCGCGCGGGACTAATAGATGTCTATTCATCATCGCTTCCTACGCGCCCACAAACGGTAGCGATGATTCGGTAAAGAAAGACTTCTACCGCCAACTGACCCAGCTCCTTAGCCACAGAAGAAGCACGGACACTGTTGTGCTAGCTGGGGATCTGAACGCGCAAGTTGGAAAGTTATCCACTGATGAAATACATCTGGGCGGTCAGCACGGTGTAGGCTTCCGTAATGATAACGGTGAGCGGTTACTTCATTTGTGTGAAGATGCTCGCTTGTTTCTTGCGAGCGCTAACTTCCGACACTGCACCCGCCGGAGGGTGACTTGGCGCCCACCAGCCTCGAACCAGCCTTGGACGCAGATCGATCACATTGCTATCAGTTACCGATGGAGAGGCTGCATCCAGAACTGTCGCTCGATTTGGTGCACATGTGTGGACACCGATCATGCACTTGTATGTGTTGACATGCGGATGCGTTTTGGCGGACGCCCGCGACGACGCTGTGAGCGCATTGACACCAGCCAACTGACAAAGCCAGCTGTTCTGAATGCGTATCGAAGTACCCCGACATGCGAGTTGGGTAAGCGCTCACTGGAGACAATTGTTGGTCACTGGTCACATGTTCACCAGACCTTACTAGCAGCAGGCAAATCCTCATGTGGTATGTTTAATAGCCAACATAGTTATTGGGTCTCTTCGCAGTCTCTAGAACTTATCGACGCTCGCCGGCATATCCCGGCTGGAAGCGAACACAATGAAACTCGCGAAGAGCTCCGGGCAAAACTCCGTGCTAGCCTGAAGAGAGACCGCGAATCTTGGTGGTCTCACCGTGCGTCAGAGATGGATGTGGCCGCTGCCCTTGGTAACCATCGTAAGTTATTCCGTCTGATACGGGAATCGGGCAGCAGAAGACCTGATGTTAGTGAAACAATTTGTGATGAGAGTGGACAGCCTATCCACAATTTGTCAAAACGTTTGGAGCGTTGGGCTGAGCATTTTGAAAGGCAATTTAATCAGCTAGTATTGTTTGATTCTTCGCCGGCGAGTGATCGCCCTGGTCCGTGGGCTGTCCCTTTGGATCCACCCTCTCGCTCAGAAGTCGAACGTGAGATCGGACTGTTGAAGTTAAAAAAGCCGCCAGATCAAGTGATCTTCCTCCAGCCCTCTTCAAATTCGGAGGCTCTGCTCTTGTTGATGCTTTACATGAATAACTAGTGAAACTGTGGGAGCAGAAGGCTGTCCCAACCGATTGGAGCCGCTCCGTTATTGTTCCCATCTTCAAAGGAGGCTCGCGTTCGGAATGCGGCAACCATAGAGGAATCAGTCTGATCTCCATCGCCTCTAAATTACTCGCCCCCATAATCCTTCACAGACTGGCTGGCGCTCGTGAAAGCCAGATTCGTGAGGAACAAGCCGGGTTTCGTCGGGGTCGTGGCTGCATCGACCACCTCTTCACCTTGCATCAGTTGTTGGAGCACCGTCACACATATTGGCGGCCCACCGTAGTCGTGTTCCTCGACATCAAAGGTGCCTTCGATTCGGTTGATCGATGTGCCCTTTGGAATTGTCTACTCAGGAAAGGTGTGCCCGAGAGATATGTAAATATTATCCAAGCATTATATGAGCGTAGCACGGGCAGAGTGAGGGCTTACGGCAAGCTGTCGTCACCCTTTAATATCTCCAGCGATGTGAGACAAGGATGCCCGCTGTCACCTTTCCTTTTCAACTTCGCTATTGACGAAGTCATGGAGATTGCATTTACAGGATATGACTTGGAAGGTGTGGAGCTACTCCCAGGAGAACGACTTATTGACTTGGAGTATGCAGGCGACATTGCCCTCATCTGTGACAGCTCCCAGAAGTGTCAAGCGGAACTGGACAGATTAGCACTGGCTGTCAGCAGCTTCGGGCTTTGCTTTGCACCATCGAAATGCAAAGCGTTCCTCCAAGATTGGCAGGGATCGTCTCCTGCGCTGACCCTTGGTGGGGACCAGCTGGAAGTCGTTCGGAAATTCAACTACCTGGGAAGTTGTATCAGCGCCCTTTGAATCGAAGACGATATCACGAACCGTAGAGCAATACCTCGAGGCGTTTTCGCTAACCTTCGCTGCTAATGGCGCCGGCGCGACATTACTCTCGCCCTGAAGGGTAGAGTGTACAATGCAGAGGTACGTTCGACCCTACTGTACGGTTGCGAAACCTGGCCCCTAAGATCGGCGGACATAAAGAGGCTAGTCACGTTCGACCATCGGTGCCTTCGCAGTTTGGCTCACATCTGGTGGGAACACCGCGTGAGTAACGTGCGTGTTCGGCGCCTTGTTTACGGCACAGGAAAAGGAACTGAACCGCTCAGCACCGTCGTTTCACGCATCAGGCTCCGATGGCTGGGCCACGTGTTGGGCATGCCAACCCACCGACTTCCACGATGTGCGTTGTTTGCTCACCGGCGGTGTGGATGGAAGAAGAGGAGGGGTGGCCAAGCGATGACTTTTTCAAGAGGAATGAAGGCCCTCACTTCGGAGCTGGCCTCGGTTGAAACGTCACGGCTCCCTGGTTGGGGTCCAAAAGACAGTGAACACGTTCGACTGGATACACTTGCTGACATGGCAATGAGCCGACCTCAGTGGCGTTCCTGCTGTGAGTTTCTTTGTCCCTCCCCATCCCTTTTAGCCTCCCCCTCCATCTACCATCTCATTTCTTAGCGTACAACACAATAATTTCTTTTTGCCTAGTAGCCGGCTGGTAGCTTACCGGAACGATGCCAATCCGTTGCTGATAGCTCAGCTGGCATGCAAGTGTCGTATTTCTTTTCCTTTTTCATTTATATATTGCGGCACAGCAGCTGAGGTGTTTCCCACCTCTAGCTGACGTGTATAGTGAATGAATGATGGATGTTGTGGTGTCGTACCGGAGGGATTTTGCAAACATATGCGCTGAATATAGTGCGATTCTTACAGTTATATTCGTTCGACGCAGTTATCGACTGCTTCAGTATTTGGCGCCAAAATGAATCACACTTGGTGCTTATCGGCCTGTTTGCATCTGTTCTACACACACCACCGGTAAACTACACTACCCATTCTTACTACAATGTGGTCTTGCCTCTCGATTTTTATTTTCTAAGCTGACTTTTGCGCTTGACTACTGACGGCCTATTCGATGTTTGGCATTCTTTTAAAACTGTTCCAACTGGTATTTCTTCTTAGTCCTTCTTGTCATGATAAACAATTTGCCTACTACATCCATCGTGTCATGTAATTCTTGTTGGTCGTTTACTGGTCTTTTGTTCCCAGACCTCAAAAGAAAACATCCGTTCAACGGAAATTAATTCCAACGTAAATCCAAACCAGAAGATGTTGAACCTGTTGTGTCGCATTGCCACTTTCTGTGTGCGGGAGTTTGCAGCAGTTGCGCTTAAACAGACGCACAAAACTGAGTCGGGGCTTTTCACTTGGTTGATTTGGCTCGTGAGGTAAGGGGTTTGTCTTTCATTTCTGACGCGTAACTCAACTCTTCTCTGATGGATGCTCCTCCCTCTTCTAATCATGACACGGTTTGGCTAACCGAAATGCGTTATCGGTATCACATCATCGAGCACTTCATAAACATTCACGCGATCTTCACCAGCAATGAAATGCCTTATTTGTGTTTTGAATAAAATAATGGAACAATGGAAGACCAATTGTCACTCAGTCACTTTGTGCATATACTAAAAGCAAGGCCTAATCGAATACACAACAATTCCCTACAGCAGTAGCTTTAAAGGGTATTCGTTGACCATTCGCTCACTCAGATAGCCGCAACATGCCCTTGAAGCGGTGAACGGTTATGTCCGTTACTTTTATGGGACTACTCCGAGCTTGATACTATGCTACTTCGATAGGCTAGAAGGCCTGAAGATCCATATTAGCCAAGATACTCATCCGGTTAACAGCGATTCAAGTTTCAGTTTGAACAGCTGATGCAAACACCGAAGTGCGGGGGATCCAGTTGCCACAACTCACGTCGCCAGCTTAATAATAAATAGCATTTTTAAGAGAATGACACTGGGCGCAAATGCAATATAGAGAAAATAAAATTCACGGTTAAGTGATTAAAAGTAATCCGGATTGTAAGTTAACAGCTGGATGCTAGAAACCGAATAATGGAACACCACTGACTACGCGACCGTGTCATTTCTGATGGATTCTCCAACAACTTGTGTGGATCATCCCGAGGTCTCCATCCAAGTCTGATTAAGCCTCTCTGTCAATTTTCTCAAGCCTTCATATCACGCCATCGACTGGCCACTTTGCGGTTTCACCCAATTTGGTGCAACCGCTGTATATAGTGCACACCGAATTCAGTCAGTGGGCATACGGAGGACATGGTCTAGCCAACGCAAGCAACTAAGATTTAGCAAACACTCAAATAAGCCACCAGAAGGCTTCTTGCTAATAACCAACTGGTGAACCTCAGCATTGCTCATCCGCTGTTCCCAGCCTGCATAGACAAAACTTCGTAAGCACCAGTGGGTAAAAACGTCCAATTGTTTAATGTCTTCATTGCGACCTGACCAGTAACACCGGCCTTATCACAACGTTATGCACCGTACCTTATACTGACAGGTTGATATCCCGCCTTCCCAATAGACGTTTGAGCAACTGAAATTCCACACAGGCCTTGCTGATATAAGAAGTAACTTTCTCAGTGATGTGATCACCAGAGGTGACACAGCTACCAAAGGGACCGATACACCACTTCCAGTAGCTGTTCGCTGTAAACTAAAACATAAGGTGTATCGGTCCAGTCCTGCAACAGTACTTCGCACTTAGTAGGTGCAAAGCACATGCTGATATGCGCAGCGGCACGCACTGGTCTATTCAGTGGTGCTAGCATTGCCATTGCGTCATAGTCAAGGGGAATTATGTCGTCTGCATACTCAGTGTTTGTCCGTCGATTACGTAGCAGAACTTCTACTCTGAAAGTACGGGGTTATTTATCATCGTTTTCATCACAAACTTGAAGAGGAAATGAGATATAGGACAACCATGGCGAACCCCATTTTCGAATGAGAACTCAGCAGAACTTGGACTCGTACCCAATCGGTAGAGGGATTTTAGGATGAAAGGGAGTTTTCCAGGCACGTCCTTCACGAATAGGCAATGCCACAATCCGTCACAATCAACAGGGTCGAAGGCGTGTTTCAGGTCCAGTAAAATCGTCGCTTTCGGTTATCTTTGTCTCTGCTCTGATACTTGCCGGACAGGGAATAAGTGTTGGATGCAACCACGACCAGGACGGAACCCAGTCTGGCTTTCAGTGATTCGGTTCTCATTTGGACCAGTATGTTGTCAAAGAACGATATCTTTAATAACTTTGGAGGCAATAAGAGTAAGGCTATTACCTCCATCGTTCTCACACAAAATACACCGATCATTTTTGAAGATGGACACAGCAGTTGATAGTCGCCAGTCTGAAGGGACTTCTTCGGTGCTCCAAATCGGTTTGATTAGAGCACAAAGTCCCATCAGCAAAGAGCCACCTCCATCTTCCAGCAAAGATCATTATCATCATCATCAACAGCAATACATCAGCCGTTTGAACTGATGCTTTTCTGCCATACAACCATGAGGACCTATGAAATAAAGAATAAGAAGAGAGATAGAAGCGGGACTCACCTGAAAACCCTAATGCCCTAAGCAAACATTCAGGGTCAAAGCGCCTACACCTTGTGTAGACAACATACGGTCGCAAACAGCTGGCTATCTTGCAAAGATAAGGCGGCATCGGTGAGACAGCTTTCTTGCGACTTTCACTGCCCCGCGTCATAATCAGCCATTACCCCACAGATAACTCAGCAGCAAACACACCTTAAACAGGCAATCCGATTAGAAGACGGCAGCAGACGCGCCACTGGTGTCTACTGCGAGCCATGTCCTGTAAAGTCTCGAGCCAAGCACAAGGCGAGTCAGATGGACTCCAGCCCGGAAGGCGAGACGGACCAACGGCACCCAGTTTGGTTATCAGTGACTCATTTGCCGCTGCCAAGTCAACTTCTGTCCACCTCGAGCTTTTCACCACCCTACACCTGGCATACTGAACAAGGCCCTCCTAGGTAAGCGGTGACCAGGCATACGAAGCACGTGCCCGAGCCAACGCAACTTATTCAGTGCTATCTGTTGTTCTAGGGAGCTAGCATGATTATCACCATCTAGTACTCGCCTGCGCACATCATCGTTGCGGACACGCTGGTGCCATCCGACTCCAGCAATGCTTCGCAGACAACGATGATCAAAGACTTGAAGGTGTCTCAGATCTTCAGACCGAAGGGGCCAAGTCTCACTACCATAGAACAGAACGGCCCTCACTGTGGCTTTGTATACACGGCCTTTCAGACGAAGGGAAACTCCCTTTTGTCGCCAAAGACGACGCAGGTTCAAGAAGGTAGCTCTGGCGTTTGCAATGCGTGAACTGACGTCAGTTTCTATGCGCCCATCATTGCTGATGCAGCTGCCAAGATAAGTGAAATGATCAACCACCTCGAGTTCCTCATTAGCACGCCTAAAGGGGTTATAAAGTGGCTAGTGGTCCTGCAGCAACACTTTGCACTTTGAAGGTACGAAGTGCACACCAAATAATGGGACCACTCTGGACAGGCTATTCAGGGTTGATTGTGCCGCCGCAACATCGTCGAAAAACAAGACGAGATCGTCTGCATAATCTAGATCAACTAACCTTTCACCAGGCAGCACTTCGACGCCTACATTGTGGGATTCCGCAAGGGAACACTCCATGATAGAATCCACGACGAAATTGAACAAAAATGGGGAAATCGGACAACCCTGACGAACGCCACTTGTGGTCGGAAAGCTATCCGACAGGACACCGTAGACCCTGACGCGGTCTGTAATGTTCGGGTATAGAGCACGAAGGATGTTCCCATATTTCGTGGGAACATCTTTCCGCTCAAGTAATTCGAACAGAATCGATCGATCGACTGAATCGAACGCACTCTTGAAATCGAGGAACACAGCTATTGTCGGTCTGCGGTATGCGTGGCGCTGCTCTAGCACCTGCCGTGAAGTGAATATATGGTCTATACTGCCACGTCCTGGGCGGAAACCGGCCTGCTCTTCCCTAATCCGAGATTCCGGTTCAACAGTGAGGCGACGAACGAGAATCGAGGCCAGTAATTTTGTCACAACTGGCGTTAGGCTAATACCCCTGTGGTTAGAACAGCCTGTGCAACTGCCCTTCTTGTATATTGCCACTATAATCGATTCGCTCCAATTAGCCGGGACACTTTCTTTTAGATACATTCGAATAAGGAGGTCAGTACTTTGCAGAGGACCTCACCTCCATCCTTAAATAGTGCAGGTGGAAGGGAATCCGGGCCAGCGGCACGAAAACGATTAAGGTCTCTTTAAGCTGCATAAATTTCATTCCAGTTTATTTGGTTAGTTTTGCCTATCTGAATAGCCTTCTATTAGCTGGCCACGTCGCTTACGCTAATTGCGCTTATCTTCGGTAATTTTGTTGCGTTTGTAGCATTTTTGAGTAACTTGTGGACATTTTTTTCCTTATCGCGGGTTCATTGCTAACCAACTTACTTCATATGCTAATTTAGCGAAGAGTTATGCCACCGTATCTGTATGCATTATTGGATTTATGTTATTTCATTTTCTCGTTTCAAGTGATTGGCTGTTGCGTGCTATCCCCGGTGTGGCTGCGCTTGATGTGCATGTTGACAAGGTGCCTACCTGTCTATTACCCACTACCTCATCCATACTGGCTCCAGGAGACAGTTGGTCGTTGCTGGAGGGGACCGGGTGCACGGTCCTTGTGGCCGTGTTAGGATCAAAGAGTGGTTCTATGCAGTCAGTGTGGAGCGGACTACGGTCCAGCCACCGCCTTGTGTGCGCTTGATTCCCCAAATACAGTGCGCTTGTGTTTGCCTGTGAAGGAGTGTGGGTCGGCTCCGTTGATGAAACGTGGCTCCCATCCACATGCCCCCCGGTCTTATTCCTTCGGGTTTACACTGGATATGGGGTGTGTGGTTGGAGCTGTGGGTGGTGCAGCGCAAGCCACCCATGGTCCCTCTGTAGGCGCAAGCGTCCTGTGGCTGGCCACAGTGACAGGCAAATCCGAAACCGGATGCCGCCAACCATACATATATATATATATATATATATATATATATATATATATATATTATATATATGTATATATATATATATACGCCCACTGTAGTAGCACGCGAATTGTCGCATCACGTCTCATTGTGACTTTGATTGTTGATGCTGATATATTTTTGGCTACTCGGACTCATCTCACTACCGACTGTCATGCTGTTCACTCTTCTGAAAATATTAGCTTTCAACATGAAACTGCCTTGTTTGCTATTAGTTTACCATTTCTTTTGCCTGTCTTGTGTTCTCCGTTTCGAAATTGATTGAAACTATGAGACAAGTTTCAAAATGGTATCGCCGG